GTTTTTTTCTTTATGTATTATTGTAGGGTCTACCTTACAATATAAAATGCCTTGAGGCGACTGTTGTTGTGATTTGGAGCTGTATAAATTTAAAAAAAAAATCAACAACAGCACATTTAAAAGCAGTGTGACTGACATGCCAACGTTATTGCCACAAAACAATCAATCCACAAAAAATTTATAGAGAAACTCCATTAAATATTGAGGGCTGTTTCCCAGCCAGTACAGATCCGCACATCAGGGACACACGTGTAGACATTAATGCTTCACATCACCACAGAGAGGACCTAGAAATAAAGGGAGAGAAATAAACACAGAATTCCCCCAGGCTAGTCGACAAGTCAAGGAGAGAGATCCGAGGGAGAGAATCACAAGGAGAGTGCTTTCAATAACGGAGGTTTCCATCATTCAGAAGTCTGGTATAATCACTCCATCCAAAGTGACTCCAGTTCAGAGCTTCCCTAAACCTGCATTCTTTTAATAATCCGCAGGGAGCAGATCCTCTGGCTTCTAGAAGAACTTCAGTTGTATAAAATTCAGATACCTTAACCTATGACTCAGGCAAACACTTTCCTGATGCATCTGTGATCTTTATTGTTAGTCTGAAGTCTTATTGGTTAAAACATAATATTAATTTAGTACATTTTTCAACTTGATCAACATCATGAGTTAAATGCTGTCTCATTTTCAGTTTATGGAAGAACTAAAGCAATTTAATGGACTATACATCATTAGTAGTGTCATATAGCAATCACTCCATATCCAATATAATAGTAATATAATAGTGAGATATGTGAATATACTTTTCTTTGAACATTTCTCTGAATATGAGCAGTATTTGGGAAAAACACAATCAGTCACTGGGTAAATAAATGTATGTGGTGCCATTGCAAATAATTTGGTGAGTTCTCTTGTATACTTGAAAGGGGAGAATTTTCTTATCATTAATAACAACTTGATTTCCATGAAAAGCAATTAAGAATTTCATCACAATGGTTACTTTAGCAGCAGGAGCAGGTTTAAATAGTGAATTTTAACATTGAGAAATAACTCAATGTTAGTGCAGATAAAAGAATTCAATCAACCTGAAAGTGTGCGATATAACAAGCCTGCTGCTTTGTTTTCTCTTTCATACAGTTGGGTCCATAAATAGTTGGACAGTGAACTTTTTGAACTTTTTTTAAAATCTTGGTTCTGTACATTAGCACTATGAATTTTAAATGAAACAACTCAGATGCAGATGAAGTGAAGACTTTAAGCTTTAATTTAGTAGGCTGAACTAAAAAAAAAGAGGAACTCCTAAACCCTTCCTCCAATTTGAATGTGGGCGATCGTGGCTCAAGAGTAATCGGAAGGTTGCCAGTTCGAGCTCGGGATCGGACAGTCTCAGGTGTTGTGTCTTTGGGCAACATACTTCACCCGTTACCTACTGGTGGTGGTCAGAGGGCCCGGTGGCGCCAGTGTCCGGCAGCCTCACCCCTGTCAGTGCGCCCCAGGGTGGCTGTGGCTACAATGTAGCTTGCCATCACCAGTGTGTGAATGGGTGAAAGACTGAATGCAGTGTGAAGCGCTTTGGAGTCCTTAGGGACTAAGTAAAGCGCTATACAAGTACAGGCCGTTTACCATATCCTCAAATGAAAGCTCGCATTTTACACATTATATCCAAGTCCATTATATAACTATAATTGGAATACGTGTATGTGTCAGTAAACAGGTAAAAAACTACACTTGTACACTGTATTTACTTAATGAGAGATGCAGACATATAATACACTGGATAATCAGCTAAGTAGTACTGGTTAATTTATTTCTTTATTTTGGTATTATTTTATCTTCTCAGTCTTTTGTGGTTCATGAATATTTTCAAGGAGCTGTGACCTTTAACATGTTCTGTTTTGGATTATTAAATACCAATTAGGTAGAACTTGGACTGAAAATAATTTTTACTGCTTCACTGATTCTGTCTGGATCTAAATTCCACCTCTTCTCACTGCTCTGTTGTTCTAAAGCAGCCTCTCTCACACACATATAACTGTGTTCTCTGTTCTTCAAAGACACCTCTGGAGGTAGCCTGAGGGAAGGCTTTTTTATGCTTTAAGCCATCAATTGACCAATCAAGGATTGCCCAAGAAAAGTGACAGTTGCCACGGGGACAGAAGAGAGTACACAGAGCAAACTATTTTTAATGACAGCACTTTTACTATAAAGGTACCTGAATAAGTCTAAAAAACACTTTGTAGTCTGGCCAGAAGTTGACGGGGCCCAGAACAGCATATACACATTACATGCAATAATTAGCCTGAATAACTAAAGGAAGGCGTGCATGTTATCCTTTTTTTAACTGCTAGGTGGTCTCTATTACATCTCTGACAAGCCATCATCAAGACCGATGCGACATCTGAAGTCTTCTGCACTCCTGACCCTTTCATCAAGGAATTACATTTGGGACATCAAAGATGCAAAAATGACATCATGAAACATGAAGAGAGGCAGAAATTCCTTTTTCCCTTCCATCAATCTGCTTGCTGTTCATAAATGTCAGCCTTAGGGAAATTGAATGGCACCATTTTTCTGTGTTTATTAGGCTGGGATGAACTCAGTCTCATCGACCTTTCAGAGTACATACCCACACCAAGTTAATTGAAGATAAGTCAAACTTGGAGTTCCAATGGCTGGCAGAGTCTGAGCGCTAAGATCCCCGAGGATACATTGCCTCGATTAAAAGAAAAGAAGACGAAGAAGAGATGAAGACAGGAAGTTCATTGCAAGATAGGCTTGAGTCCACTGGGAGAATGTCAATTTTTTATTACTTAAATGCCCCGTCTTAAATGCCAAAGTAGTATAATCCCACAAGTCATTACTGATTTGTGGCGAGTTGCTCTCAATAGTGATTTTGGGCTGTTTGTTTGAGCACATTCATTATTTCAAACCAGACTCTGATCTCAAACGGAAATTAAGAACTATATTTACTAAAGAATCAGTAAAATGTAATGTTGTCTGAATAAATTAATTTATTTTTGCTTTGATTTGTTGTGTTATTGATTTTAGGAAAAAAGATTTAAAAAAAGATATATTAATTATCTTATATATATTATTTATCAGGGCTTTGATAATCTTGTCAAAAGAGTGACATCTAGCTGCTTTAATGCCACCATTAAGTTAAGCTAATTAGTGCTAAAATTCCCAATAAAATCAAGCCTAGCGTGTTAGTTCATCCTTTCCAATTAGAATAAAAACTTCACATCAAAAGCAGATCTCACAAGCACGTACCATTAGAATTTTTATAGAAACCATTTAAAACCAACCATTTTCAACCTGCTAAAAAAAAAAGAACAGAAAAACATCATTGCAGGCTGAATTTAGCCAACAACTGCAACTGGAAAAACCCATATGGAAGCTTAAGGCTTAGACTTGGTTTCCACAAGTAATCCTTTAGAAAAGTTAAAAAACAACAACAACAACAACAACACCACAGCTGGAGACAAAGTATAGATTAAACTACTTAAAAATTTAGAACACTTGCATTCAAATCATGATTCCATCTCTCTCCCGCAGCAAACACCAGTATACTGTGCTTTCAAGAGCTCTAGCTACTGGCACTGACCTTAAATTCTACTTGCATTTCTACCCACCAACAAGCAGAGCTGCCTGCATCACCTTTAAATTCTCCTTAGCCTCCATAATCCTACATTTGTTACATTATGTTATTTAGCAATCAATTTGTTATGAAAGTTCAGGAAATTCCTCCTTCACATTATTTTTCCACCCCCAGGAGTGGTTACAGCTACTTCTAGGGACACATTTAATGTGATAGTCTGACAAAAAGGCTCTCATTCCAAGTGATGTCCCCACCAGACACCATTTTCCACCTCCCCACCCAGCCTCTGTCAATATACATCACAAAGACTACTCTTGTTTAGTGTAGCTGCTGTGATTAAAGTGAAGGCTAAGAAAAAACACAGTATGTTCTTAGAATAGCTGTATCATACTTCGGGCTGTTTCACCCACAACACAGATAATCTAAAAAATATGTCTATGTAGGCTATGGGTTTTGCTATTTTGACCCCTCTGACAGCATTACCCCTCTGACAGCATTTAATAATGCTGTCAGAGGGATCTATATCATATATATGCCACAAATGTCTGAAATCTGTCCTACATGTGCTTTATTTAAACGGCAGTGGCTGTGAAGGCGTAAAAAAGTTGCCTAGACCAAGACATCCATTTTCGTTTAAGCCAAACTGGGTTCCAAACCACAAATAAACAAGGCACTGCAAAATTCATGAATAAAAGGCTCCATCAATATTTCAGTCATGGCTTCATGTAACTAAATTAAGTACCCAGCTGTCTGTTTAGCGCGCACCCCTTGTCTCCACACTGGCTCCGTGCTCTCGGTGCGTCCTTGGACTTCCTAATGTCATGGTACACAATGGCACAGGAGGTTGTAATTCAAATTGGGGTCAGGGGACCCGGGGCACTAAGTGAACATTAAACCGCCTCCCATCCGGTTGGCCTCTGCCCCAAATTAAAATGAGCCATTTCTTCTTTTTACTTCAATTACGTTGCGTACGAAAAAAGGGGGTTCATAGTAAGGAATCCGGTAATAATACGTTTCATTATGAATGTTTGACTTTCTCTGAGCAGAATAAACAGACAATAACAAGATGTTCGTGACCCTGAGCCACCCCCACCCCCTGCACGAAGCCATTAAAAAGTCCCGATGCTTCAACAAAGCCCGGAGCCTTTAAACATCCACGGCGCCTCCAGGTGGACCACCTGGGTGCATAAAAACCACACCGTGCCTCTTCTCCCTGAGAGGCGCGCAGTGTGCGTCTGCAGCAGCCGCAGCAGCAGCCTACTGCGAGAACAATAACTTGTTTTTAGTGATGTGCGCTGACGCTGGAGTGACGGATGGTGGAAGGTGACAAAGAAGGGGCTATAGGGATGGTGCATGAACCAGTGGCTCGAGACGGGACAGGATGAGGAGAGAGGCTACTTACGCTGCTGTTCTCTCCTGTCCAGTGGACCATCGCCTGGTTGTGGGTCGCATCCCCTTTGAGCACGAACGAGCTGCTGAGCAGGGACATTTGTTTATCCCAGGACAGGGCTCTTCTGAAGCGGGGTGTGCTCCCCGCCCCGACTGCTTTCTGGCCCGGCAGGAAGCCTCTTTCTCCGCCGTTCAAGTCAAACGTGCGATCCTCCCAGCCTCGCCGGTTTAAAGCCACGCTGCCACAGCGCACGGGTCCCGGTAGTGCCATCCAGGCCGAGACGGTCAACAGAAAGACGCAGAGGTACGCAGCGGCTGAACCCGGTTCTTCGGGACGGAGAGGTGCCATGCTTTACGCCGTACTAGCGCCCGTAACGCGGAGACTGATGAAGAGACTGCTGATGCTTGTGGGAGATAGATAGGTGTATACTGTAAACCGAGGAAGAGAGAGTGAGGGAGGGATAGAGGGAGGGGAACTGGAGCGAAGTCAGACAGTGAGAACAACGTGGACGAGTCTCGGTGCCAAGTACGAACCACAGGACGATGCAGCGGTGCCATCTGCTGTCCTGCAGCTGTACTGAGCTCGCATCACTCCATCCATCTAAATAAAGAGTTCCAACATGACGGCAGCACTGCCTAAAATCACTGCCGTTATTTTTAACAACATTGTGTGTTTCTTGTTGGTTTCACACTGAATTCGACCGTGATCAGTGTCACAGTGATCCACAACTGACGTAGTGGTGCAGTGGTTTAGTCTTCGCGACCTTCGTATGCTTATCTGCTGATGTCAGGGCATAGACTGATAATCAGCAACTCCTGATGGTCACTTAGTAACATGCTTAACCACTGTTGAGTCAATAGCTTTTTTGTTCGGGTGGGAAATATGCTGAAAATACATTTATGTATTAAACTTACATACACACTGACATTTTCTGAGTTAGATGTAGTTGCTTATTGCTTATCTGTTTTATTCTATTTGTTATATTTATGAGTACCATGGACATGTTTAGTAACTTTGTGTCAGATAAAGTGAGGGTTGAATGAGTTGGTCATACGTTCTAATTTATATTTATTTCTTTAACTTATCTTTTTCTTTAATTTAACTGATAGAAACAATAAAATGACCTTAAAAAAAGCATGCGTGACATCCGTCCCTCTGTGTATTGGTTGCCAGCTGGCCAAAGGGTCAGAGTTCACATTTGATCTCACAAAGTAATAGCTCCACTCCCTGCATCTGTTCTCGTATCCAATTACACTTGGAGGCAGAATTAAACTATGACTCGGTGGTTTTGTAGTATTTGGGGTTATATGTAAACAAGAGTTCACCTTTACTTTCAGATTACATGTTTTTCTAATATAGCAGGTATTATTTTTGCTCATCATAGAGTTAAATCCATAAAAACACTGTACAAAATCAAAAAGCTTAACATGTTTTTATTAGTCTCAGGGTTTGCTTATAAAACTGAAGGGTTTAACTATGGTAACCTTAGTAACTGCCATTTCAGTGCGGATTGATGTAATGCGGAAAACATGGAACATTTTGAGAGTGATTATAGTTCCATGAGAATTACCGTCCCGATTTCTTTACAAAACTGTGGGCCTATAAAACCCTGGGTCTACTGGTTTGCGGCTCTAGGTATATAAAAATGAAACTCCATTGAATATCAGTTTTGCCTGTGGATTTCTTCCTTCAAACCAGGCTTTCCATGATCAAAAGGGGCGTTCACCTGTAATTGTAAAGCATCCAATATGAATCCTTGCTATTTAAAAATATCTGTCATTTGTCAAAGTCTCTTTCATGTGATAGATGCCACAAGGAGGGAAAGTCCAGTTTGCGCCCAGAATTACAAAGTGTTGAAAGAATCTCAGGTTGCTAAATATTGTGAAGTAAAGGCCCAACAATATTATAAACAGAACCTCAGGGATAGGATAATCTCTTAGTAGCAAGCACTTGGCAACAGTGGGGAAGAAGAACTCAATTTTAACAGTAAAAGGCCTAATCAGAAAGCTGCTAAAGGAGGGGAAGTCATCTTCTGTGACTGGTTGTGGGGTGCGTGGAAAGACAAGAAAGAAAAGGAGAGCATAGAGACAGCAGGAACAATAAATATGATTATATTACAAAAACAAAAAAAGTTCAATAAGTAGCGATAATTAGAGGGAATTTAATGTGATTTATTGATGTACAGAATTCAGTTTGAAGTTTTTGGCAATTAGACTCTGATGGCCCATCACAGCAGAACAGAATCCCAGGAGTGATTGGAATTAGAACAAGACTCCCTGGAGTCTAGACGCTGGTGATAGAGATGACGATGGAAGTTTGAATGGAGCCTGAGTGACCAGTGAGAGATGGTAATGGGGAAGAGGTGGATTGCACGAAGGCAACTGCAAGGGAGAGTGGCAAATGTGCAGTGAGATTTAAAGGTCTAGACGATTGGACTAGACCCGGGATGTCACTATCAGCTTGACAGCATGGGAAAGTACAAGTGATGTAAAGCTTAGATTAGCCACCAACATTAGCCACCTTATTGCTCGTCTATCCCAGTTTGTATGTTTCTGTGTGTGCATGTGTATCTGAGTATGTTGGTTATTGTGTAGCAGCGGGACTCAGTTAAGATTTCCCAACTTTTGGTTCTGGATACTTGCTGGCAATCATGTACCTGTGTTGATCTTGTTAAGAGCCGCAACTTAGGGGAGTGGCTGAGCTTGAGTCAGTGCTGGATTGTTGAAGGACTACTGTCTGTGTAAATATGGTTATGGTATTAATTTATGGTACTGCATGTGTACAGGAACATGTAGCGAGAGTGGAGAGAAAATTGTAAATACTGAGTAAGCTGAAGTGGAAAGCAGCCTTGTGAGAGGAATCACTTGCACCTGGGATTGGGATCTTGTGGACCTTTTCACGGTACTGAAGGATTCCTGCGCTTGGGTCCCTGCTTTGCCTCACAGCAATTCTGACACTTTACTTTCTTTAAGAACAGACCTTTAACATTTTTAGGTTTTATTGTTACACACAGAATTGATTTGCTTTATATAAGCTTTCCTACACAATTTAACAAATATTCACTTTATACACAATCATTACACATTTCATGTCCTTTCCATTGCTTTGTTAATAAGCAATAATCTTATATTTACAGTCGTATGAAAGAAAGTTTTCCCAGAACTCTGTGCAGTCCTGTGAAAAACTAGCTACAGCCTGTTTCCACACTGGAAGTTGTTGCTGCTTCCATAGGAATTGAGATGGTGAATAGCAGCCAAGTGCTGTTAATGAAATGCGCTTGATTAACTGATCATCAGCAAGTGTGATAATCTCTATAAAGGAGCAGGGTTTTTTTGGCAGGTTGCTGGCCTGGTGCATTTGGGTGCATGTTAATGCCACAGTGTTCCCAACAGTGGATGTCCCAAAAGACTGTTAATAATCAGAGAATTTGCAAAAATCCCAAATTGTAAGAGACTGGTAGAGTCACACAGCTCTACTTCCTGGCTGTGGCTCAGAAGGTAGAGCAGGTCACCTACTAATTGGAAGGTTGGTGGTTTGATCCCCATCTGCTGCAGTCTGCAATGGACAAGCATAGAAAAAAATGTTTTTGTGAATGAGGCAAGTTGTAAAAGTGCTTTGAGTGCACTGTTAAGAGTAGAAAAGCATTATATAAGAACCAGTCTGTTTACCCTTTACAAAAATAATTACTTTGAGTTAATACTGCAGGTGGGTCAACAAGCTAATGAATTTTGGGCTTTAGTTACAACTATAAATATAGTTATAGTTGGTGTCATGTATCATGTATGGTTTGCATACATGATATAAATCTGTATAAGCATTCTTGCTTATTCAGATGTTTTATCTGTAATTGTGTTTTCATGTTTGTAAGATGTCTAGCAATATCTTGTTCTTACCAGAGACTCAGGGATGTTTAGATTTAGGAGGAAACAGACAAGATTATGTTTACCGGGGGCAACTGTGGTTGCATAAAGGATTTCTGCATGTGCAGAATTCAGGAGGGAAACTGGCTTCGTGTTCCTTTGGTGGATCACCGGCATCAAGTTTTATATACGGTCTTTCTCTCTGGAATTTGAATTTTCTTAGATATTTCTCGGATGTGCTGGTGTACTCTCACAGTCCAGTGACATGAATGTTAAAATAGTTTAGTGGTTCTCTAAAGATTTTTAGGCACATTCCAGTTAAGAAGCCAAAAACAGTTCATGCTACACCCCATGACTTTTGTCAAATCAATTCAACTTTGTTAATATAAGCTCGAAATCTCAACAACAGTCATCTCAGTTTTATTTGACCTCATCACTTCATTTTTCACCACGTTCTCTGCACTGTAGTGGACATGTGGACGCTGCACTGAGGCTCACTGGGTTAATCTGTGGTTCTGAACAGTTCTTAAACTGGTTGTTTTGCTACGACTCGCAGCTTGTCATGGTTCAACCTGACTCTCACCCAGTGTCAGCTTGGTTAGACATAAGCATCACCAAAAAGATACTGAAAAACAAACAAGGCATTTCAAAGATCTAACACCAGTCAATCACAAGGATTCATTTTTGTAAACCATACCTTGTTGTTCTTTTTGTAAGTTATAAAAGATCCAATGAGAAAATCACTTTTTCTATAGTTTTGAAGATTTACATATACAGGATACCCCAAAAAGAATGTGATGTGATACCTTAAGAGTCTGATCATAAATAAGATAGTCACATCAGTTTAAACATACTTGATATGAGCTCTGTCTTTTAAACATCTGCAAAATCATATATAAATTTCAAACAGCATCTCTGTGACCTCTTAGCAAACTCAGTTTGGTAAATATTTCACGGCCTTCGTTGATAGTTGTCTGTGGCATCTCTGTGTGTATGTGATCACAGATGAGGAGTATGGATTAGTGAGGCAGGTCTTGCATCATTTGAGCACAGAGACAGCTCAAGGGGAGGAGAACCTTGGACTGCAGAAGCCCAGCTTGTTAGCATGCTCCTGAGCTGCTCCTGAATGTAGCTTTGTTCATCATGAAATTTTCATGGATAATTGGATGTTATGAAGATTAATGTGCTTTAGTTTCACAGGGCTGCAGGAGAACTTTGAAAGACTTTGACACTCAACACCTTCCAGGGGATGTCTCTGGCCTTTTTAGCAGATACGTGACATGGTCTTACCTTGATAACTCAGCTTGATGCGCTAGGTCCTTTCACTCACATCATGGCAATTTGAGCCAGTGGTTCGACAGCGTCTGCATTGTGCTGTGCTCTCCACATGCCCCGGAGGATCTGCAGTCTAACTTCATTGTAATTTATTGCAATTAAGGAAGGCACAGAAGCAAAACTAATTGTACATTTCACTCTCATTACTAACATTTCCTTCTGTTCACTGTAGACTGTAATATATTTAATCATAAATCAACCAGAAAAACATTCCACATATGAGGCTCCTTGGAGTAAAATCTCGTGTGTTTCAAATTATGTTTGGGAGTTAAAGAGGTTAGGAGGAAATGCGGGAGAAAATATTAGATGTAAGGATGAAAAATGCTTTCTCTTGAATTTAGTTTTTCTTTACTGATTGTGCATTCTCCGGCACATCACAACTGTTTAAATTCTGTCTACGTGTATTTTAAATTGAAGGAGTTTTTATTTGAACACATTTTAAGGTCTCTTTTGAAATTTTGTGGGTGAAAAAAGATTTATATTTTATGAAAATATTGGCAGTGCTGCAAACTTTTTGGTATTCTTGGGAAAATTTTGCTTCTATTCA